CACACTCCAAATAGTATCCAACTTTATAATCATCCCCAAAAAATTCCTTTTTTCTCATTATTTTTTCTATTCTTATTGACAACACATTTTCATTGGTCCAGTTGTCTTTTTTATGTTCAATCAATGTTAACGATTTGAGATAACAAAATGTTATCTGTATTCTGCTTAAATTTTACATTACAGTACTTGTTAAGAGTCTTGATATTCGAACATTGTGTTAAATCAAACAACAAACGTAACATATTTTAAGGCGACAGGAACTATCATGATAAAACTTCGAATCAAGGTACAACGGTTTCTTTCTTTCCTTCAACTACTTCAAAACACAAATTTTACTCGGAAGATTTATTAAATAAAAACTACAGAAAATTTAATTTACATAAAATTAAATCAGCTTACACAGACTAGTTTTAATGATTATTAACTGCAAATTTCTATCAACTGAGAAATTGTCGCTTAAAGTCAAGATCACATTGAATTGATTAATACAACTAAAAATTGTATTAGAAACCAAACAAACTAACTTCATACTGATTGAATCAATACAATTGAATATGTACTAAAAATCAATGAAATAAATTCACATCCCATTGATTAATACTGAAAAATAATGAACGAAAATCACTTAACTCCAGTATATGAATTTCATGATTGATTTTACTGTAATAAGTTGTGCTCGGGGAATTAATATCCTTTAAAAAACTTTACTGGCTATGATTTTAGAATTTGATATCAATGGTGTATGGTATGTTGCTGAAACTCATAAAGAAAACTCATACCCAATCATCTAGTTAAATCCAAGTAGTTGATGCACATAATGAGCTCAGTTCACACATCAGGTATCGGCAAACTTAATGGCAACTTGAAGGTGTAGGTAAAACGTTGAATTCAGTAGTAGAAAAGCAATTTATGGACTGGATTTTGACGGTAATCACTAACAAACTGTTCCAATGACTGGCGGCGTAAGAAATTAAAAGTAGAAGGATACATACCATCACCCGTGAAGTAGTCTCTGTATACATTCCTACTGACTACAACTTGGAAAAATTACAAGATGAATTCTAAAGGGAGTTTTCTGGACTCTTACTAAATATTAAGTATCTTGATGTTGTAATTATGGCAGTTGGCTTTAATGCTCGAGTAGTTAAGCCTGGTGAAACTTAAAAGGATGTGGGTGGAACTTCTATTTTTTCAGTCCATTAAACAAGTAACAAACTATAGTCAGACAATCTCTTATTTACAGTATGTTTCGTCTCTAGAGGATACGAAACGCATTGTTTGATCTATCGACTTTGGACATCAATTGGACTAAGAATATACGTTAAAAATGCCGATAGGGGTGATAATTAGAAGTGGTAAACTGCCTCCACTTTTATAACATATGTTCGACTCTGACTATACTGTGGTATAAGTATGTGTTTCGTTGCTCATCACTGGTCACACAAAGATTAAAATGGAAATACCTCTTGGAACTCAGTTACAAAAAGAAGTTTGGTCCTAACAAAACATTGGATGCATATTCGATCCATATGACCTTATGGAATTTCTAAAATGTGGTAAAAATAACAGTTGTTTGTTGGAAATCCGAATCGAGAGGTAAAGAAGAAATAGCAAAGATTGGCAGCTCCCATTGAATTAATAAAGGTATAACTGCAAGTTACACTTATACTGTTATCAGCTGATGCTTATTTTTATTCCATTTCCTGGAAAAAAGTTAATTAATGATAAAAATGTAGGTATATTTTTACCATAACCGGGTAAAAATGTTGACCCATACTTATTAACTTTTGGTAATATTTTAAATTTGTATTTTAATGATTGATTTCAAGAATGAGTATAACTTGATAAGAAATGATTTAAAATTATGATGAATTAGACAATTAACTGATCTACTTACTTGTCAGAGTCTTACTACTTTGGACAGTTAACTTATCCTTGTTTTCTTTTAGTACCACAAGGAGCGTGTCATTAATTAATTCCTTCACATGATTAAACTTGATTAGATTCAGTGGCTATAATCATAAGGAACATTTTGTGTGTATTTAGAAACACAATGGAACTTTAAAATCAATCGATACATATTTAAAAAAAAGGTTGATAAAAAAGAGTATGGAAACATAAGTATAAGGGTATCAATAGTTGAAAAATAGTCATATGATCATGTGTAACAGGTATGACCCAATATCGTTTAGTAATCGTTTGAGTTCAAGTATTAAAGACTTTATTATATATATGTATATACAATTCCTTCATTTTCAGAAGAAAAAAAAACTCTAAACTAGATTTTTGACTAATCTACTTTATTTATAATACTGGTATATATTAATTTTAATTTGTGGATAAGGTTACTATCAACTGTCTTTTTATAAGAATAATAATTAGACTACAATTCTATGAACATGTTACTGATAACAAGCTTGTTTAAAAGCTGCTTAAATGGTCAGTAAGTTAACTACACATAAACAATTATTAAGTTCAGTTGATTAAATTAACCATTTCTATGAATTCGGTGTTTATCTTGTTGTGCTAATGAGGTATGGTAACTTAAACCGATGCATAAATGTACCTGGTCCTACGTTGTAGCAGACTGACTGACTGATATTGTTAAATGTTCTACACTTTCATAAATTTTCATAGTTGAAATCATGAATCAGTTGAGGCTAGACCACCATGGGAAACCTGTAAGTACTGGACAGCCGTTTCGTCCTATTATTGGACACCTCAGCAATGCATATCCACGATCCCACACTCGCGAGATTCGAACCCAGGACATACCGGTCTTGCGCCGGAGCACTTAACCGATAGACCACTGAGCTGGCCGGCATCCAACGGTGTTAAAGTCTAACTTCGACCAATCCACGATATTTGAGCAACCGTTCACCAATTGTCTTCAGTGAGTTGATATCTCTACAAAAGACTTGGTAGAACTTCACTGGTCACTGTTACCCACTAGAACTCAAGGAAATATCTCTTGAAGTCAGTCACTAGTGAGACACTAACACCGTTGGATGCCGACCAGCTCAGTGGTCTATCGGTCAAGTGCTCTGTTGTGAGACTGGTATGTCCTGGGTTCGAATCTCGCGAGTGTGGGATCGTGGATATACACTGCTGAGATGTCCAATAATAGGACGAAACGGCTGTCCAATGCTTCCAAGTTTCGCATAGTAGTCTAGCTTCAATTGAATTATGATTTCAACTATGAAAATACTGAAATCTCCACAAAACCTCTTCCGAACTTTTATAAATGTTAACAATGTCTTTATATATCACAATCATTAATGTTTCATATTCTTTAAATCAATTTGTATATAAACTAACACTATTTTAGTGGTGCTTTCTGTTTTTATAGAAAAAAATGGAAACATTTTAGGTTAGTTAAATTCCACTCACTAATGCTTAACCTTATTTTACTCACATGAATTATTGATTTGTTTACTGATTAAAAACAGTGAAGTGAATCAATTAATTGACATTTTAATTGTCTCTATGTAAACATATATATATATATATATTCAAATACATATAAACTATACAGTAAATTACATAATAATATGACTTTTTAAATTCAGTTACTTTTTCCTATGCTCTCAATTTTATTTCATCTTATCTATTTGAAGGAGAAATGAATATGACTGTTATAGACACTATCATAAAGAATATGAAGTATTACAGATTAAGGATTTTATGTTTATTGGATATTAACTGACATTAAAAGAAAGACTTGAATTTCTATTAAATGTTAACCTTTAAGATCTGAATTATTTATCGACTGCATTCTGAAATGCTAAAGATCAGACTGTTTAGCATGATATAAATTCCTCTTTACTCGTCTTGAGGTTTTAAAAGATTAGGTTAACTCATCTTTATTCTCGTTTCAACTTAAATAGTTTATGATTATGAAGATATCTGTTATATTCTTGATCTGTCTACGCACCAATATACAGAAGGTAACTTGTCTCAATATAGATCAAGGCCTTGACACGATAGGCTTAATGGTTCAACCTTGAGGCTAGAATCACGAGTTCGAAGTCAGACTAACTGCCTCGGATAGAGAGACGAAAATCATTCTATCACCTGATTGGTTGACAAGCGCACACGACAGAAGACGAGACAAATGGAACACCATTCGATTCCAATCTGGTTCCGATTAAGATTAGTGCAAAAAGGTGCACGAATAATATAGGTGATTAACATGACCACAACGCACAAACAATTAGGAAAATACAATTATGTCCAAAACTAGGGTCTAGAGTAAAAGAATAGAGTAGCAAAGACTACGTTTAAATTACAATAACTTTGGAACAGAAATGGGTGAATCATACATCAAACGAAGACCTATGGTCTGTAGAATAAACTAAGGGTGAAAACAAATGTGAGTGTTTCACAGGCTTGGAATTAAATGACATAACGTACCCCAAAATAGCTTCCGTTGTTTGTCATGGCTTCTTTGTTTCTCTGCTCACATCAAAATCACAATTCATTAAAAAATATTTGAATTATCCAAGATAACTTTGATAGGCCATTCCCAATAAAACACTATGGCTGAACAATGAAGTAGAAAGAGAATGTATATAAGTTTTCAGATCTAATTTATTAAGTTCATAAGCGAACGAGATTGTTCCTTACTCTGCATTATCATCTGTCTTTGTTCTTAAGTTATAAGCCTCAACTACTGTTATTTGTGTTTGATTATTACCCAAAAAAACTTTTGCAATCATGTGCTTGCTTGATAGTTGTTGCTTTTCTTCTTTAGATAAAGAGTATTTAAAGTAGACTTGATATTGTACCGCTATCTCAAATCCTGATTAGTTTTGGCAGTTCTTTAGAATATGGTATGTTTTTCAATTACATGGAAACTACATTCATAACACATTGATTTAAATTACTAGTTTCTATTAAGTGAATTATCTGAGTGCGCATACACATCAATTTGATAAATTGTAGTTACTGTTGAATTTGTTCATGTTTTTTTACTTGTTCTTATCGACTGATTGTTCTAGGACTGCTGTGTAGTCAGTGATGAATTAAATCATACAAGTCTAGTCTTGGGATGTCGATTGACGGGAGCAACTGTACGTCGTTTTAAACATAATGATATGGAAGATTTGGAAAGAGTTCTGCAAGATTCTGTTGTTTATGGTCGTCCACGTACCCACAGGCCATATAAAAAGATCTTGGTCGTAGTTGAAGGTATATACAGGTAATTATTTGCATATAATTTATTTTTATCTCGAACTGTGTCATATATCTATGTAAAAAGTCAAAATAACTTAAGTTCATTTTTTATTTAAATTACTCGGTTTCTTTTAAGCACTAACCTAATAATACAAATGTTATCTCTAATTCATTTCCTACCACGACACAAGCTCACTTTCACTTTAATTTTTATCTAATGATTATCTTCACACTTTTTACATGATATCACGTGACAATTATATCTACCTCTGTTTGAATAGTATTTCTAACCCGAATACAGTAAATGTGACTCATATCCTACCTTACGAATATGTAGTTGTATTATATTATCATTTTATTGTGTCGATGTTTATTATTAGTTAAAACTGTACGGTTACAAGAAAGCAATTTACTGAGGTATACAACCTAAAATGAGACTATAATTTATGGACGACCTTTGAGCAGTGCTCAAGTAACCTACAGAGTGTCCATCTACTAACTAGGATTAAATGAGGGTTATAAACCAGTGTGAGGAATCAGATGATGGTTAGAGTTAGGAATTAGGTTTAGGATTTTCATTACTAACTGACATCAGCTAAAATGCCAAAATGCTATTTAGCCAAACGGATGGATGAATTAAGCGCCAAAATTCAAGACCTGTTATCTTATATCTGATTGCTTCGTCTATAAATTAAATTATAGTCTCGCCCTTGAAATGAATGGACTACAACATTGCTTAGCTAGTTTAAACGCTATTTCTACCAGAATTCGTGTTATTGTTACTTTAACGACTCATCAAAATCAACAATTAGTGCATTGTGTTTCGGCGTTACGAAACATCTTAATACCATGTATTCTCAATATATTCGTTGATTAAGTTAACAAATTTGATTTTATGATTGAATTGATGACTGTTGTATTATTATTTGATCTGATCACCGACAGGCTGACTAGAAATTCAACTTGGAACACTTTTGTGTATTTAACAATTTAAAGACTCAAATTGAATCAATTATTAAGCATAAAATGTTGAAAAGATGTGTAAGTATAGTAGTATATTTAATACATTTGAGGAAAATCAAATGTTAGATCATCTGTCGTACCATAATAATAGTAATTGATTTAATTTGAGCATGATAATCGCTATATATGTATAATCATCATCATCATCATCATCATCATCATCATCATCATCATCATCATCATCATCATCATCATCATCATCATCATCATCATCATCATCATCATCATCATCATCATCATCATCATCATCATCATCATCATCATCATCATCATCATCATCATCATCATCATCATCATCATCATCATCATCATCATCATCATCATCATCATCATCATCATCATCATCATCATCATCATCATCATCATCATCATCATCATCATCATCATCATCATCATCATCATCATCATCATCATCATCATCATCATCATCATCATCATCATCATCATCATCATCATCATCATCATCATCATCATCATCATCATCATCATCATCATCATCATCATCATCATCATCATCATCATCATCATCATCATCATCATCATCATCATCATCATCATCATCATCATCATCATCATCAATATAGAATTCTCAGCACGAGTTATTTCAACAAGTTTTTTTTACCAAAAAAACAGATTAGAAATACAAAAATAGGTTTAAGAAAATCTGAGTTTATACAAATTATCGAATTTGAGACATGCTTAAGATTACAGGTTATTTACTAGGTCAACTCTAAAAGCCTGTTCGTCACAAAGTAAATTTGCTAGGTAAGGTATTAGAGAACGTTTATAGATTTGCTTGCGTGCATGGATTGTAATGTATTTACGTCTCGTTCTACCAGAAGGTATACAAGGAGAAAGATTTGAATGAAGCGGATGGCTAGTATCTGATAAGATAACACCTGACAAGAGTTTGCAAGACTTAAGATGTCTATCCACAAGCATAATAACGATGACTTCAAAAGATTCACCACATACCTTGTAAACTGCCTTCAGCACTCTACGCAAAACAGCAAAGTCTTTTCTCAAAAGCCCAGGAAAGAATAATGGAGAACAATATAAAATAATAGGTATGCAGGAATTTACAAATTGTAAGAGTAAATGGCGAGTAATCCCAAAAGCATGCAGCCTCTTTATGTAGTATGTCAAGCGGTAAACTTTTTTCGATAACAGTAAAACATGAGAAGACTAAGAAAGATCAGAAGAAAAAATGACACCAAGATATTTGACCTTCGACACTGTGTTTATTAAGGAGTCTCCAATGGCACAAGCATTATGGGATCCTAAAATAGAGTATAGGTTCTGTCCATGTCTCAAGCTAAAGTTAACAGCTTGACATTTAGATGGATTGAGCAAGAGACCATTACTAACAGACCACTTTTCAATACGAGACAAAAGCTCATTCATTTCTATAGGATGTAAGGAGGTAGAAATCGGCATACATACAGTGAGGTCGTCCGCATATTTTACAGAAGCGTTTTCTGTGGAAGATGGCAGATCATGAAGAAAGAAAGAGAAGAGCAGAGGTGAAAGAACAGCTCCTTATGGCACACCTACAGTAGACAGTAGAGATGTTGAACACTTTCTTTCAAATGCAGTGTACTGTTCTCTTCCAGAAAGGTAGGAACGTAACCAATTGGTTATCCAGCTGTCAGTGTCGATGCTGATCGGCTTGTTAAGTAAGAGGTGTCTTGGAATAGAATCTAAAGCAGAGGTAAAGTCCAGGAAAGCGCATCTAACATACTTCTTACCCTTTTCCAACCCGAACACTATACTGTGATGCAGAACAGCAACGGAATCTAATGTGCTTCTTTTGCGTTTGTAAGCAAACTGATATGGATCACAGTGTTCTTTTATTGCAGGTTGAAGTGGTTGTATCAGTAATTTTTCCATTACTTTGAGGAAAGGTGAGGTTATTGCTATGGGTCTAAGTTTCACATTTTTATCACCGGAAACTTTCTTTGGTATAGGGATTATCTTTATCTTTCTCCACATTTTCGGTAAGACATTAGTTGAGAAGGATCTGTTAAAGATATTCGTTAATGGATAACATAAAACATCAGCACATTTATTAAAAAGGAGGTTTGGGATACCATCAGGTCCTAAACATTGGGATGAATTCAGAGACTGGAAACATTTCCGTACATCATTTTTAGTGAAACTGGGGACACAGTTATTCTTCAAACCATTGGATATAGGGAGCATGATGTCAGATGACTGACGAATAAAGGACTTATTTAAGTCACAAACATTCATCTGGTTATCGCTTCTAGTCTGCCTGTCCCCTGTAATTTGTTTAAAGGGTTTCCACATACTTGGAGAGCTTTTACAAGATAGGAGTTTCTGAGTAAACACAGAGTTTAGACGTCTAATCTCTAGGCTTATTTGACTATTTAACTTACGAACTTCAATAGTGTCTTTCTCCTTGTGCATCCTTTCTTTTACCCTCCGTAGTCGTTTTAGTTGTGGAGATGTAAGTCGATCAAAACTTAAAAAGAAGGTTTCGGTAGGACAGAAAATATCAAAACAGAATTTAAGATAACAGGTGATAACATCCGTTATGTTTTCTATTGAGTCATCTGTAAATACTTCCCAGTTGGTCGTACGGAACATGTTTTTCAGATTTTGTAAATTTTCTTCTGAGTAATTCCTATATATTACTTTTTCGGTATGGTGTATGTGTGTACTCTTTCCATGTTTACCATATACTTTAGGTAAGACACGAATTATACGGTGATCCGAACTAGACAATGGATCACGTTTGCGAATCACATAGGTACCCACATCATTAATGAAAACCAAGTCTAGATGAGCATTCAAACGAGTAGGAAAATCTACTACATTTAGGTGACCTAGTGATGTAAGGAAACTACAGTCACATGAATTGAAATCACCACATACAATTGAAAGTGAATCACTGAAGGCAGTAACGGCGAATTCAGTAAATTTATCAGCGAAGACAGATAGCGCAGATGATGTACAGTCTGGAGTCATGTAGATATTGGTAACATAAATATATTTGTATTTATTCAGGTGTTTTGGACGGCACCTTAGAGTTAGACAGTCAATAAAGTCATTTGAAAACTTGAAACAAGCAAAAGTAGATCGACACCAGTTAACGTTCACAAAAGTAGCTACTCCACCACAACAGGTCTTTTTATTGTTTGATCGATCCTGACGATAGATGTTAAAATCACGTAATGATACTAAGCAATTATCCTGTAAGTCAGTCAACCAAGATTCTTGAATTGTGATGACACCACAATTACAATACATGTTTTGACTTAGTAGAAATTGGAGATAGTCCACCTTGTTAATTAGTGATCGACAGTTGGAGTTAAGCAGCTCGGGAATCGACATTTGATTAATGTTTATTCTCTTTAAAGCATATTGCCAACCACCACGATGTCTCTTATTGTACTTGTTTGTAATTTTTGCAGCGAAAGGACGTCAGAATTTTATAAACGCGCCTGTGTAGGTTATACGATTAATAGACATAATGATAGGTTAAAACGAATTAAAAAAACCCAGATAACTTGTTGAAATATTTAGATGGCAGAAACAGGTAGCCCAGATATTCAAGCAGGCCGCCAAAATAAATAAATAAATAATTTTTTGTTTTTATGAATCATATTACCTTCGAGATAATTATCTAATTAATCTTGTTTACTTCAAGTATTTTAGTCTATTGTGGGTGGATAGAACGACTAGTTAAAAGTAGAAATAATATGATGAATATTTTATTTTATGACAGCCTACACACTATCTTCATAGTTTTCTTCAATTAACCATTAATTAAGTAGCGTAAGTGTACAGAGATTAAAGTTTAAGTGGCCTATAAAAATAATTTCGAAAAAAAAGTATAATTGTTGTTGGAAATGTATTGTGTCAATCTATCACATCTTTCTGATAATCTTCGTCTTTTTATTACACATGTAAATTACTTACCAAAAAAACAGATAAAAATGACCCCTTAGAAAAAAAAACATACAATATCGTGATTATTACTTTTAATCAATGTAAATAAATATGAAAGACTATTGAATACACTTTTTACTTTTTTTTTACTGTGAAAATTTTTATTTGATAGAATATAATTCTTATTGAATCGATGAGTATAACAATATATAGTATTGTAAGCAAAGATGGATAGTGGCTAGCAGTGGAAATCTAGTACGTGTGTTTCATCCTATTTGGGACTCGTCAGCTGGATGTACCTACATCTCAGAGTTGATGTTCACTCTAGGATTCGAACCCAGTACCTTCCGCTTCAAACGCTATCATATTAACCACTTAGCTACTGAATTCTGATAGCCACTTGCTTGTGCAATGGGGTGAAGTTTAAATCCACTTGTTATTGTTTGTTTGAATCTTCCCATTGATGTTTAGGACAAAACGCGCGTCCTGGATATCCACTGCTAGACACTATCTATCTTTGCTTACAATGCTTGTGAATTAAGGCTATATCGAGGCAATACTCACAGTATGTACATATGCCAATTAGAGACTGACCAGTTGCAGACCTAAACATCAATGGGAAGATTCAAACAAACAATACGAAGTGAATATATAGTATTGTTCTTACGTCTAATGATTATGATATTCAATATGTTATTTATAAATTACTACAATTGAGAAAGAATTTAAAAGTTCGCAATACGAACTAATCTTAGACAACTATTGAAAACCGGAAAGTCAGAAATGTAAATCATTTAACGTTGACCTAATAGCCTAAAGGTTAACTGTTTGTCACAAAACCTGAAAGACCTGAATTCGATACACGGTGGGATCATAGATGCACAATTTTGCGAAATTACAAAGTAGAATAAAACAGGATTTGCAGTGACTAATAGTTTTCGATGGTCAGTAAAATTTGAAAATCTTCACAAACCCCTAACACTAGAAAATAGTAATAACAATTTAAGTTACAAATTATTTCTTATTATTAAAAGGATATTTAATAATTACCGATCTCGTGTTTCTCTGTAGTAGTATTTTAATACGATTACTCTAGACACTAAATTCAATTCTCATTCAAATGTAATTATATTAGTTCATACATATTTTCGATTATGTATATGTATTTACACAGTATGGAAGGAAGTATTCTTCATCTTCCCGAAGTAATCGCTTTAAAGAAGAAATATAATGCCTATCTTTATTTGGATGAAGCACATAGTATTGGTGCGTTAGGCCAAATGGGTCGTGGTGTGGCTGATTACTTTGGTGTTGATCCACGTGATATTGACATTTCAATGGGTACATTTACGAAGAGCTTCGGTTCATCTGGTGGATACCTAGCTGGGAATCGAAAATTAATTGACTATCTTCGTTCAGTGTCATATAATGCTGTATATGGTTGTAGTATGCCAGCACCAATAGCTCAACAAATTATATCATCTATAAGAATTATCATGGGAAAAGATATACCTGGTGAAGGTGAACGAAGGTAAGTTAACCACATTACTGTTATGTACATAAATATATTAGCTACTTTAACACAATTAACGTTTTAGTATTTCAGAGCGAAATATTTCAATAAAATACTCAGTGTTCTCACATAATCGATGAAGGCAATTAAATATATCATTATATGCATTCACAATATACTTATATAAGTAAAACGGCTGAAATTATGCACTTAGCTGAAATATGTGTAGCTACATTGTTGCATTAACCCTAGTGAGTTGACGGTTTGTAAGTAATTCAGAATACATATAGGTTCCCTTTAGGCAAACCAAGTCATATATAGCAAAATACTTACAATTGGCATAATCTATCTACATAATTAATTAAATGTTGGTGATTGTACATGAGAGAACTTATATCTCTCAATGATTTTCATATTATTGACCTTCTTTACGTTCATTAAACAGCAAAAGTTAGTTATTATCTTTTATATTCAGCTTTTGATGAGCATACAATGTTTGAATCAGCTTGAACCATCATTCGGTGGTTTTTAGTCTATCCCAATATTCGCATATTTGTATGCATGTGTTCTTTAGCAAACCAAGTATAGTTTACGTAAACACAAAATATAAAGTAATAATTAAATGATTTTGGTTAAAGTCCGAATGAATTTCTGATATTCTTGCTACTAATGAATGCTGAATACCTAAACGTTATTGTTGGAGAACTATTATCTGTACTTTGTTTCGCTTACTGTTTCTACATATCCGCAATATGTTACTTCTGTTACTCCTTGTAGAGCATAGGTCAATGAACAGGATTCTCCAACCAACTCTATCCTAGGCTCTCCTTTCCAACTGTTTCCAAATGCTATCCATTCCTTTGATGTTTCCCTCCAATTCCCGGTTCAGTGTTTTTTTGTCTGCCTCTTTCCCTTTCTCTTTGGGAACTGCGAGTTAGCGCTTGCTTACTGTTTCTACATACGTGGGAATAAAAATCATATTCATAAATTAATCAAATATATATTGAAACTAACGATGATTAGTGAAATAACTAAGTAACCTTGCAATAAGTTTTTATAGTGTATTTCTTATATGAAGATTGATTACTTGACCCGATGTTTTAGCTGGTATTTGAAATAACAAAAACTGAGAATCGTGTGAGCGAAGAAAGAAGATAAAAATTGATGTCAGAAGATTTTATTCATCCTACAAAAATACGATAACCTATTAACAAAATATACTGCTTTTTATCCAGATGTTACTGGGATGCGAAAATTAGTCAATGAATATCACAAGTTACTGTAAGAGTGGGGAGGAGAAAAGAAATTCTTCACTGAATTAATGCAAATGAATTCTGAACGAATACTATTTAAATCAAAACAATATATCTCGTTTCATTTAGTCCTAACGCTCGACTTCTCATGGAGAGTATAAGATTCTAAATCAGTGATTTATCCACAACTCCATATCGAGATGAAACTGTTTAAAATTTGTTTCAGGATTCTAATGAAACCTGGCTGGTTAAAAACACTGCAAATAATACCGAACATTGCATCTCAATGGCGAATAATGTCATTCAAATTTAATCATAATAAATACATCGAGACGTATGGTAGTAAAACTTTAAACTTCAGGCCCCCTTTCTCCTAATCCTTGATCTTTTACAGCTAGTAAATCTCATTGATGAAAAAGCTATGATATTGAAATCCCATACCCGGTCGAAGACATGTTCTCATGAGTACAAGTTTCAATAGGAGTCAAATCCAACATTTCTACATATTATTAGAGAGTATGTAATTCATTATTTTCCTGCATAAAATAGATATTTCTTATTAGATCCTCCCTTTCTCTCTTCATTGGTTTGAACCTGTAATCTTAAGGTTGTCTTATAAAAAAGTTACAGATTAACCACTAAAACGAAATCGAATTATAAACATCATTTTAAATATGCGATGATAGTGTTTGCAATCATGTTCAAATATTTAGGTCTTAAAAGTTACGCATATAGTTTTTGAATAGTTTGGTCTTATGTTTTTATTTTTTATCATTGCAGACTTAAATGTTTAGCTGAGAATATACGTTATTTTCGTGCAAGATTACATGAAATGCGCTTGATTGTTTACGGGAATCGTGATAGCCCCGTTGTACCAGTTATCGTTTGCATGCCAGCTAAGCTAGTTGCCTTTTCGCGTAGATGTTTAGAATTAGGATTAGGAACTGTAGTCGTTGGTTTTCCAGCTACAACTCTGCTTTTATCCAGGGTCCGATTTTGCATTTCATCAGCACATACACGAGAGTTATTAGACAGGGTGAGTTTCTTGTTTTTTGCTTCATTTATTTTACATTAACTCCTAATAATAGATATCCGTGATCAAATGTGGTCAGCTAAAATTATGTTTGATTCTGAATCTCTACTATATGTCGCAGTCAATGTTACTGATAATAACGGGTTATCATTCTTAGAGATTCTTGGAATGAACTTAATAGATCTTGCTTTTTTTATTAATTAAATTTTGAAAAACGAGGTCCATATCGATTTTTCATTTAGGATGTTCGTGGATAATAAATGACTAGAGAGTAGCTAGGTGGCGATATTATTTGTTTCTCAAAGTTTTCATCTTTCAACAACAGTTTACGGTCTTTGAGAAAACTCTTGTCATTCTACCCCTTAATATGCCACTGTTCATTATCATGTTTAGAGAAGGTCGGGATTAGTTTAAGGTGACTCAGCAACTCAGCAGAAGCTACCAAAACCCACTAAGCTTTCATAACACAGAAGTTTAGGATGCCGACAAGTGTCTGTCGATCTCGTTTTCAATTCTTCTGGGTTGCGCTCGATAGTAGCGGGGACAGGGATGACGGACAATTGATGGTGTGTTTCTAAGAGCCATTCATTCACAAGTGACTATAAACGAAACTATAGTCAATGAATATTATGCTACCAGAGTTAGTGCTACATTCATACTTGTCTGTGTGTACTTAGCTCGTAACGTGAGACTGTTTCCACTCTGGTTAGGTGAGGTCAATTGAACGACTGTGTGTTGATCCTGTATATCAGTTTTAGAGACACGCAATACATCAATGACCCAAAATATCAAAATCTTGACTAATGAGCTCTATATTTTGATTTGATACAGGGTCTAAAAATGGAAGGCTCCGATTTATAGTGCAATAAAAATTTCAGCAGAATATGGATAACATTCCATTATCTCAAATCGTTAACATTGGTTGAACATAAAAAGACAACTGGACCAAAGAAGATGTGTTGTCAACAAGAATATAAAAAGTAATGAGAAATTAGAGAAGAGTTTGGTGGGGCTGCATTCCACCTGTAGATCTTCTAGAGTTACTGCCGGTCCCAAGCCCGGGTAAAGGAGGAGGGTTGGGCATGGGTTTAGTGACATCATACCGTAGAAAACTAACTCGCTAAAAAACGCTAACCAGAAAAAATAAGTCAAGCCATTTAAACTCTGCCCTGAGAGTTAAAGGAAGAATTATGACGCCTCATGATGAAAGCCAAGATCCTTCGAAAGTCACTTGGCCGATGTCCTCTTTAACAACCAAAGCAACACTTTTACAGGTACATGGAACGTCCGGACAATGTGGGAGACCGGGAAGACCACTCAAATAGCAATGGAAATGAGGAGATACAAATTGGCAGTACTCGGAATCAGCGAAACCCATTAGACACAAGCTGGACAGCAAAGGCTAGATACGGGAGAGATGCTGCTGTACTCTGGTCGCCAATAGGAAAATGCTTCACACACTCAGGCAGTTGCTTTAATGCTGTTCAGAGAAGTACAAAATGCACTTGTAGGATGGGAATCTCACGGATCCAGAATCATCAAAGCGTCATTCAAAACAAAGAAGGACGGAATCACAATGAATGTTATCCAATGTTGTGGACCTACAAATGATAACAACGACGATGTTAAAGATCAGTTCTATTCGAGGCTGTAATCAATCATTGCCGAGTGCCCAAGAAAGAACCTCACCATCCTGATGGGAAATCTAAGTGCTAAAGTCGGAGTGGACAACACAGGATATGAAGATATAATTGGACGACATGGACTGGGAGAGAGAAATGGAAATGGAGAGAGATTTGCAAATATATGTGCATTCAACAAATTGGTAATAGGCGGCACAATATTTTCACACTAATACATACACAAAGCTACATGGATCTTTCCCGACCACATCACAGAGAATCAGATAGGTTATATTTGTATCAACAAAAAATTCCTAAGGACAATGGAAGATTTAAGAACCCGGAGAGGAGCTGACATAGCTTCAGATCACCACATGATTGTGGCCAAGATGAGACTGTAGCTAAAGAAACACTGGACAAACAGCATTACAAAGGTTCGACACAGCCTTCATTCGAGATACTGACAAGCTCAACGAATTCAAGATAACTCTCAACAACAGGTTCCAAGCTCTATAGGATCTACTGAAAGAACATAAAACTACTATGGAGGACAACTGGAAAGGGATCAAGGAAGCACCAACTTCCACTTGCCAGGAGGTTCCGGGTCCTAAGAAGCATCATCATATGGAATGGATCTCTATGGAAACCTTTGACAAGATTCAAGAATGGAAGAACAAGAAGCCAGCAATTAACAACAGTCGAACACGAGCAGAGCAACTTAAGGCGCAAGCAGAGTACGCAGAAGCAAACAAGGAAGTGAAGAAGAGCATTAAAGGCAATAGGCAGAAATACATGGAAGGACTAGCAACGATGGCGGAAAAAGCTGCAAGAGAAGGAAATATGAAACAACTATATGATACAACGATGAAACTAGCAGGGAAATATAGTAAACCAGAGAGACCAGTCAAGGACAAAGAAGGAAAGACAATCACTGAGATTCAAGAACAGAGGAAGAGATGGGCAGAATACTTCGAGGAACTGCTGAATAGGCCAGCTCCATTGAATCCACCGGACATCAAAGCAGCACACACCGACTTTCCTATATCTGTCACTCTACCAACGATCGAAGAAGTCAAGATGGTCATCAGACAAACCAAGAGCGGGAAAGCGGCGGCACCTGACAATATACCAGCTGAAGCACTGAAGTCAGACATTGAAGTAACTGCAAACATGCTTCACCTTCTATTTAAGAAGATATGGGAAGAAGAACAAGTGCCGACGGATTGGAAAGTAGGGTACCTCATCAAGATACCAAAGAAAGGAGATCTGAGCAAATGTGAGAATTACAGAGGCATCAGTTTGTTGTCAGTACCAGGGAAGATTTTCAAAAAAGTGTTGCTGTGCCGGATGAAAGATGCAGTGGACGCCCAACTTCGAGATCAACAGGCTGGATTCCGTAAGGATTGATCATGCATAGACCAAATTGCGACACTACGGATCGTTGTGGAACAATCATTTGAGTGGAAAATGCCAGTATACATCAACTTCATTGACTATGAGAAGGTGTTTGACAGCGTGGACAGGAGAACATTATGGAAACTTCTTCGACACTATGGAGTTCCTCAGAAGGTTGTCAAGATTATCCGGAACTCATACGCCGGACTACAGTGCAAAGTAGTGCATAGAGGGCAGCTGATAGATGCATTTCCAGTAAGGACCGGAGTCACACTAGGTTGTCAACTCTCCCACTTCCTCTTTCTTCTAGTGACTGACTGGATTATGAAGGCCTCGACATCTGAGGGGAAGCACGGAATACAGTGAACATCTCAGAATCAATTAGACGATTTAGACTTCCCAGATGACCTAGCCCTCCTATTTCGTACCTACGGACAAAGACAGACGAAGACAGCAAATGTAGCAACAGCCTCTGCATCAATAGGCCTCAACCTACACAAAGGAAAAAGCAAGATCCTCAAGTACAACACGGAGAACACCAAGCAAATCACACTTGATGGCGAAACTCTGTAATAGCTGGAAACATTCACGTACCTGGGAGGCATCATTGATGAACAAGGAGGATCTGATGCAGATGTAAAGACGAGGATTGGCAAAGCAAGGACCGCATTTCTACAATTGAAGAACATATGGAACCCAAAGCAACTCTCAACTAATTTCAAAGTGAGAATCTTCAATGCGAACGTCAAGACTGTTCTACTGTATAGAGCTGGAAGGTGGAGAACTACTACATCCATCATCAAGAAGGTACTAGTATTTATAAACAGCTGTCTACGCAAAATACCTGATATTTACTGGCTGGATACTATCACAACAGCGTTTTATGGGAGAGGACAAAGCAGCTTCCAGATGAAGAGAAAATTGGGAAAAGATGTTGGAAGTGGATCGGACATACATTAAGGAAATCACCAATGTGCATCACGACTCAATCTCTAACTTGGATTCCTGAGGGAAGGCCAAAGAACACATTACGTCGGGAAATAGAAGTAGATATAAAAAGGATGAATGTTAACTGAAAAGAACTGGAAATGATTGCTCAGAACACGGTTGGATGGAGAAAACTGGTGTGTGGCCTATCCCCCTTCACGAGGGGTAACAGGTGTAAGTAAGTAAGTAAGTTGGTGGTGATGAATTGAAGTTGGATACTATTTGGAGTGTGTGAAATATTGAATCTCCTTGTTTTCCGACATCACGAAAAAGATAGTTCTTCAGGTGGAACTCGTAAATAAAGATTGGTGACTGTTAGTAGCCCGTGTGACTTTGGAGCGTGAACCCAAAGCATATAGAACAACTGATTGACGCCGACAGTATATGATTATTTACAAATAGTATTTGTTGTTCTAACTTCATAGCTTTCAGACCTCGATAAGGATTGTGGAAGTCCGTGTGGCAATATGAGTTATGTTTTTTTTCAGGTTTGTCCTTTACCAACTCTTTTATCTTATTTGGGAAAAAATAGCGAATCTAGAAGTACTGGAATTTCTCGAGTAATGTCTTACTATCAGCTGTGTGACTCTTCCATTTTAACCTAACTTTGATAGGCGTAGTCTTATATTCTCCAGGTAAACCTGCTTGACATCGTAAGTTCTACAAGAACAAAAACCCTATCTAACATAATTCGGTAGGGTGCTCAGGATGAAGAAACTCGATCTCTGTGTCAAAATATTACCAACTTTTAGGATAATTAGGTGAACCAAATTAAGTTTGCTTCTCATTTATGCTCAGATGATATTGAATGAAAATGCATTTTATTTCTAACCAAAGAAATTTAGATAATATTCCGTTTTTTGTTGTTTAAAATTCTGTTATTCAGGCATTGAACATAATCGATCAAGTTGCTGAAGAATTAGGAATTCGTTATAGTAAGCAACCGATTCCAGAATGGGCAAAAGAAATTTTATACAAAGATAAAAGTCATCGTTATATGAATGGTTTCTCAAGAGAGATTGAACCGTCGGTTGAGAAACTACTTAAGAAATCAGCTCCTACGGATTCTGTAAGTAATTCAATCAGTCTGAGAAAACGCTGTTTAAAAAGAGATACCAACGAAAAATGTGGGATTAACACACACTTTTAGCTATGTAAGTTTTTTTAAGTGTTACTTTGTTAACTATTTTCTCACTCACATTTTCTAATCTATTCATTCTACTTATATATCGCAGGATCACTTCAATTGAAATGTATCACTGTTTTCAAACAACAAATGATTTCAATTGGAAATAACAATAATTACAATGCAAATCTTTGACGAATAATTTATTTTTGGACTTTTCTGTTTTTCCTTGTCAAGTTGTTCTTGTTATTCTGTATTTACTGTCAATCTTTTCTCAGTTTAATCACTAAGATCTCGATGAATTGTTGGTTGAAAGTCTTTACTGTATACGTTACTTGATTACTTACTCCTGTTTCCCTTCATACATAATAAGGTGCCGACTACGGTTACCCAGCCAACTCTGTCCTGCGCTCGCCTTTACAGTTGTCTTTAAATGCTATTCATTCCTTTGATATCTCTCTTCGATTCGCGATACAATGTGTTTTTTTTGTCTACCATCTTTCCTTTCTCCTTGGGGATTCCACGTTTGGGGTTTGCATCGTGATGTATTTCAGGAACTTGCTTATTCCCTTGCGTATGTTGAGGCCTGTCGAGGCTGCTGTTACACCGACTGTCTTCACCTGCATTTGTTGGTATGTATGAGACAGAAGAGTTACGTCATCCATAAGTTTGTGTATGCGTTTGTGGGGAATCTGATGCCACATATAAACGTTTTATGAAGGGACATAAATTTGAAAATCTTTCATCATTCTCGCTTCTTTCTCCCAGTTCATGTCGTCTCATGATATCTTCATACACGGTGTTGTCTATTCCGACTTTGTAGTTTAGGGCCGCCATCAGGATGGCCAGGTCCTTTACTGATCACTTCACAACGACCGATTACAGCCTCTCATTAAACTTATCTTGATTGTCTTTATTGTTAT